TAATGGTTCCTCCCCTTCACCCAATAAAAGGTGTTTTCAAGGAATGTGCAGTTGCTAAAGAGGTTAGTAGTGCTATTAAAAAGATGCCAAGTAATTTGCATTGGGACAGAAGATGCAGTATCTCAGGAATTACCAAGACCCCAACCCTCATCAGATCAAAAGTGAGAATATAAATTCCATTTCATGACTTGTCCTGCTTTGGTTCAGAATTTTTTATTACAACTTTTTGGAATGGAAATATTTACCCAGTACCTATTTAGTTTTTTTTTTTGTTTTTTTCTTTTGAGACAGTCTCACTTTGAAGCTCAGGCTGGCCTCAAACACACTACAATCCTCCTGCCCCAAACTTCCAAGTTCTAGGATTATAGGAATGTGCTGTTATACCCAATTGTTACTTTTGTGTGTGTGTGTGGCCAGCTCAGCCCACCCTGGGGGGAGGGCTGGCGCAGCATGTGGTCCCAGGGATCAAACCATGGTCCCCGCACTTGCCCAACCAGATGCTTAAGACCGCTGAGCTATCTCCCCGGCCCTGTCATATTTTTGAAGTATATAACTTTTTGATTTTATAGGGGCTCACAGCTGCATTTGACTTGAGTTTCAAAGATTTTGAACTTGGAGTTGGAGCAATAATGGAAAGATTTTGCACTTTGAAAATGGCCTAAATGCCTTTTACTTTGAGAAGAACATAAGCCAATGGACACGGCATGCAAGGCTACTCTTTTAATATTCAAGGTCTTCCAAAAGGCCTATGTTAAAAGCTCAATCCTCAGCCCATGAGGAAAGTAGAACTTTCCAGAGGTGAAGCCTTTTGGGAGGTTAGGTCACTAGAGACACTGCCTTGAGGGGATTTGGCCTCATCCCTTTCTTACTTGCTAGTCAGCCTAAGAGCAGCTTCCTTTGCCATGCACACCTGCAGTAATGTTCTAAGCCCAAAGGCAATAAGGCCAAGTGATCATATTCTGCAATCTCTGAAACTGGACCAAAATAAAATTTTCTCAATTTTCTGATACTTTGTCACAGTGACAGAAAGCTAACAGTCTTCCTGCTTGGAGGATTTATTTTAATTTAGATTTCCAGGGCATATTGTCTTTTATTGTGCTGAGTTTATTGTACTTACCTACTGATTATTTGCTGTTAGGAAAATTTTCAACTAATTAATTTTCATTAATGTTTCATGTTTTAATTTAACCCTCTTTCTCCTTTGAGATCCAAGTATATATTTTAGGATACTTTATCTTTTTTTCATTTGCAATTGAAGCAGTTATTTGTAAAATTATCTTCTATCATGCTATTGGGATATACTGTCAGATCTTTGTCAGATAAGCTATTAAACCTACCCAGTTAAATTTTTCATTTTGTGTTGTAGTTTTCAGGTTCAGAAGTTATTTTTCATCTTTCTGCTAAGAAACCCCTTTCACTAATTATGTTGAACTTTTCCTTTAAATCCTTGGAGATAATTATGTAGACATGTGGACTTCGTAAAGTATATTTGTTTTTTTTTTTTTAAATGTATGATAGCTTTTTAAATTTTGCTTTCCTTGTTTTATTTCTTTGAGACAAGATCTTGCTGTGTAGGCCTGGCTGACTTTAATTCATTCCAGTTGCCTTCCTCTCCTGAGTCCTGGGAATTATTTTCTGATGCTTCATATCTATGTTGTTCTATATGTTGCTTCATATGAGTTGTGATAGATATAGATATAGCTTTATATACTTCATTGTGGGGGATTTTAGGAGAGATAGCCAAGTCTGGTAAACAGTTGTGGCCAGAGTAGAAGTGGTACTGATTTTCCATAGGTCCCCAGTTGGTTCTAATGTGCACTTAAGATCAGGAACTGCTTTAATGGTTTCTTTACAGTACCATAATTGCATTTGGAGCTGGTTTATTATTTGTTGTAGGGGGCCCAGGATTTATCCACTAGATGCCAGTATCATCTCCTCCCAGATATGACAACACAAAATGTTTTCAGAAATTGTTAAATGGCTTGTGTGGAACAAACTCAACCCTAGTTGGGAGCCCATGTTCTAGCTGAATAGATAATTGCTTTGCCTTAAATCCTCGCTACTCAGAGCACAGTATCCAAACCAACTGTACTGACATCACCTGTAACAAAATCTTAGCCCTCGCTCCCATCTGACAATCTTAACAAGATTCCAAATGATCTATTTGCTTTCTCACATTTGACAATGCAAAAGACCAGGGGCCACCAACATTCACTTTCTTTAATTTTGAATATCAAACCCAAGAGCTCACACAAACTAGGCAAGCAATGAGCAAATTGGAGGAAATGTGTACTTTAGGAGTCAGATAGAAATATTTTAGACTTACAGAATGGTTATCAGACCCATTTGACTCTAATTTAGTGAAAAAGTAGCTACAGAAAATATGTATAGATGTGGCTGTTCCAATAAAACTTTATTCACAAAATGTGTTATTAGACTCCTTCCCCAATCAGACCTATCAATAAAGATAACAGATGCTTAAGGTCTTTTATATGTAGATTCCACTGGATTTCATTGGTTGCTACTAAAAGACATATTGTGTAGGTTAAGTAGTAGATGATTCTTGAAATATGAGTAGTATGGGGCTGGGGAGGCACAGGCACCTGCCTGGTAAGTACAAGGATGAGAGTTCAATCCCTGGATCTGCATGACATGCTGGCCATGGAACTGGGTGCACACCTGTAATCCCAGCACTCAGGAGATTAAGACAGGAGGATTGCTACGAGTTTGAGATCAGCCTGGGGACTACAAAAGCTAGCACAAGGCCAACCTGAACTGTGTAGTAAAACCCTGCCTCAAAAAAAAAAAAAAAAGTATGATTTCTATTAACTAGATGATGCTATCTCTTTTACTTCTACAAATAAGTTATATATAAATGCGACTAAACTTCCCAGTGGTTCTCAGCCTTTATATGTGATTTGATGGCACAGTTGTTACTTTATGGGAAAATGATTTATGGGTACACTGGAATATTTATTTAGCCTCCAGTGTATAAAGCTGATAGAACTTTAGGAAAATTGCGTTTGAGTGGCTTTTTAGCTCTCAGATAGTAGACACTAGTTATTTGCCTCTTGAATAATTTCTTTTTAATAGGAAAGCTAAAGAGCCTTCAAAACATTTCTTATTTGTTGTGTCTCTTATGTCCTTCTAAAACTTTGCAATTTAAAATTGACTCTTATGGAAGAATAGGGAGTCTAAAGGCTGACAGTTTGCTTTTGAATAGCGATGGTATTACACCAGATGTTTCTGGAAGGAACTAACAATGAAGATTTGTTTCCTTCGGTAATGTCTTTTCTTTTTTCCTTTTTCTTTTTCTTTTTTTTTTTTGCACAACCGGGGATTGAACTCAGGCCCTTGCGCTTGTCAGGGAAGTACTTATTCCACTGAGCCATCTCCCTGGCCCCAGAATAATTTTGATTTCTATTTTTTCCCCCCCCAGAACCGGGGATTGAACTCAGATTCTTGCACTTGCCAGGCAAGCGCTTATTCTACTGAGCCATCTCCCCGGCCGGTAATGTCTTTTTTGAACCACCAGCTAAGTGATACACAGAAGGCATGTCAGATATCACAGAAGTGAAGCAGACACAAAACAACTCCTGATGTTCAGTTAAACAAAAAGGAGAAAGGTCATTCTTGAGGATTTGGCCAAAGGGAATAAAGGTGAAAATATTAAAGCAGCTCATGAAACCCACCCTGAAGTAATAAGTTAATTTGTCTTACATTAATACCTCTTCAGTCCGTAATGCTCAGTCTGTGCCTATAGAGCTCTCCAAGAGACATGACAATGCCACTGGTGAGGTTTTCCCTGGCAGTATAAAAGATATGATTGAAACTATGGTAGATATTAAAACATTTTTAAATTATTTAAGTAAAAGATACATTAGCATGACTCCCCCTCAAAATACTCCCTCTCACTTCAAACACATTTACATCATGCTTGTTACTTTCTAATGTAGTTTTAGAAGTCTTATTTCTATCTTCAGTTGTGCTGTCATGACTGCCTTCATGTCCTCAATCACTTTAAACATTTATATTTCATGGTACTTTGGAGGAAGAGCCAGAATTCACATAAAAGATCCCATGAAGAACATGGATGGCAGTGGACAGCAGGATTCACTGTATTTTTTTTTTTAATATATCTGTTAAAGCTGTGAAGGAGGACTTTCAGAACTGCTACAGAATATGGGAAGAATGATGGGTTAAGGCTATTCAAAGGAAGGGGAGTGAGGGATTTATAGCAGTGTGTCTTTTACTATAATTCTTTAAATTTCAGCATTCACCATATATTTTGACCACGCCTTTTACAGCACTGGTTTTGCTCATCCCTTATCCTTTACTCAATATAAAGCAGGATTATCTCTAAATTGTCATTATGTGCAAAAGGTTAACAGTAGTTATATTAATGATCAAAAGCTAATTATGGCTGTCTTACCCCATAAGATTTAGCCTTTTATAATCTTGCCAAGAGAATTCAATTTTTATATTCTATTCTATTTTTAGATTATAAAATTACATGGCCTAAAAGAATTAACCAAATGAGCCAGACTTGTTTGTTAAATTTTATTTAGCATTTTTATATAGAACACAAAATCCTCTGGTAATCAAGTCTAACAAACTACGTATCTTTTTTCATAGGAAAGCACAAGAAGACGACAAAAATATCACGAGTCTTCAGAACGTGTGAATAAAGTAAAGAATTTCCCACAAAAATCTAGCTATGTGTACTTCCCAGATTCATTTTATGAATCCTGTCGAGATTGTACCAGTCCATATAAGATCACCAAGTCACAGTCTCCAGCCTGGTCTACATACTCTTCAACAACTGGTATAGAAGTCACAGATTTACAAATTTCTACAGGATTTTGGTCTACAATTTCCCAGTTTACTCTGAGTGAAGAGACAAAGTCAGATGTACATTTTTATGGCTTCATCATATTTTTGCTTTTGATACTGGTATGTCTTACTCTATATTTTCTTTGAAAATATCAAATAAAATTCTTCTGATAATTTTTCAAGTTTCCAGTTCTTCACAGAAATGTTATGCACTTATTTCAGGGTTTCCTTCCAGACATCTTCAAGGTAATTGGCTTTAAAAGAAAAGAAAATATATTTTAACGAAGTTTGTGGGCACTTTAAATTTTTCTTTACACTAGAAAAAATGTCACTATAATTTGGAACATACTTTTCTGAAGTTTCAGATCACACAGGAAATTCAGAAAAGTAGTTAAATGTTTTTGATCAAACAGACAATTTAAAAATTTAAATGAGTGCTGGGAAGATAGCTCCATAGAATAAGTGTTTGCCTCGCAAGTGCAGGGTCCTCAGTTCAATCCCTGGTACAGCAAAAAAAATAAAAAATAAAATAAATGATACTGATAAGAATAATTTGTCTTAGAGGAACTTACATTCTTACTACTTTGTTTAAATATAGAGAATACATGTTTCAAAAAGTTTTAAGTAAAACCAATCTATATAATTTTTTTTTTTTTAGTATTTTAGGCAAGGGTCTACAGCGTGTTCAGGGGCTCACTAGTAGATCTGACTCACAGTGACCCACCTGTTTACAGCCTCCCAAGAGCTGAGATTATAGGCGCGCTATCACACCCAGTCTCAATGGCCCTCTCAGTATGCCTCTCAGTAGGCCAGCATGACAGGCCTGGGGATTGAACCCCGGGCCCCCGATCCTGCTTGCAGGCACTTTAATCCACTGAGCTATTTGGCTGGCTCTAATAATCTCTTAAACCATATTACTATATTCCAGGCACATTTTATGAAATGTGTTTAGTGAGATGCTTACCTTACTACAGTATGGACATTCACCAAATATGACGTTAAAACTCTGTCTACTAGTGAGCAGTCCTCTCAACCACTGAAGATTTTAAAAAGAAGCATCAGCATGATTAAAATTATAGATGTTCCAAAAATCATTTCCTTTCTTTTTTAGTGTAACATATTTTTATTCCAGAAGATTTAACTTCCTAACTGTATTTTGTAACAGTACAGGATATATTTTCTGAACCAGTAACAGATTATTAATATTTTGAATAATAAGGGGAAATCAATGTGGAATGTGAAGTATAAACCACTGAGCTAATAAAAGCGAAGTATGACCCCCTTTAATAAAATAACAATAAAATAATACCAGTGATATTTCTTTATCCCCAAAATAGACATACACCAAGACACACACATTCCTGAGTTCATATTACCATCCCTAACACTGCACATTAAAAACTCATATGATAAAATATACTGTTCCAGCTTTTATAAAGTTGGGTCTTAATTCTGGTCTTAACAACAGTGGGTTAATTCTTAGTCCACTGATTATAGGCAGAAGGCAGGTTTAAAATATTAGTGCTCATTATTAACAAAAGAAAGCAAATTCCCTCAGTTCTAGATAAGGTATACAGTAACCAGGTATCTTTAATTCTCCAATGTTAAAGTATACATGCACTGAATTGCTACTATTAATCACAAAGGGAAAGTGGTGATCATACTGAAAAAAGAACTATAAAATGGCAAGGTGTTTTATAATCACGTCCACTCTGCCCTAAGATGAATGCTACAGAGAACAAATGATCAAGAACAGGAATGCACACAAGCCTCACATACACACTGCCTAAGGGTGCTGTGACATGTTCAGATCAAAAATGAGATGCTACTGCAGTGCCAGTTCCTTTGCACTGCATGGCTTCCATCATCCAATTGGAAGAATCTATAGTTTGCACTGCAGTTTCATGAGACATTTAGAAAGTATATCATGACTTAGTATGTTCTGCAATGGCAAGGCAGTCCAGGTATGCAGTCTGCATTACCATGCCCCTTGCCGGGTGCTTGTGGACATATCTTCAGGCGTTAGTAACTGTAAAGAAGAAATGGAGCACACAAGTGTCTGTAGAGTGTTTGTAAAAGGAGCTAAGTGCAAATGAGGGAGACCATTTATTAAGTAAAATGGATCTTTGGTTCTATGTACGTACACTTGACATATTTTAGCTGAAAAAAGTCCTGATTTTTTAATTTTAATTTTACCTCATATAAGCATATGTGATGAAAAGGCTGTCCACAGTGGGAATTATTGCACACTTGATCAGGAATTGCACCATCAAGTTGATAAGCATAACAAATTCCACAATCCATAGTAAAATCCTTCAAAAAAAAAATGTTCATAAGCATATTTCTTTAAAATGTCGAAGATGTTATTTTTCTTTTATATAAGTACCACATGGTAATCAATTGCATCCCCAGAACTCCTATTTTTAAGATACAAGGTGTTAATGTATAAATTGTTTTGTTTTAAAAAAACTAAAACCTCTATTCAGGGTCTTTTACTTGTTTTTTCATTTTTAGACAGTCTTACTATGCACTTCCAGCTGGCCTTGAGCTCACGTTGTAGCCCTGGCTGGTTCTGAACTCACAGTGATCACTCAGCCTCTGCTTCCTGAGTGCTGGGATTACAGGAATGTGCCTCTATGCCTGGCCCAGTATTCAGGCTTAATTTGAAGGCTGGCATGTTGTAATAAATAAGTGGGTTTTGAGTTGCAGTTTGATCACCTGATTCTAAAACGCTGGCCATCACTGACCTAAATGATTTGTAATTTTTATAAAAGTGACTTGCTATATTGTAGAAAATACAATCATACCACTACACCTAGAAAAGTTTGTCAGAATGTTTCCTTTTCACTCAAATGTACACAGATATATTTAATTATTGGCTGGCAAGATTTTGGGGCTTTGGCAACTGGTACATATACATAAACACAGCATACATGGAGTATGTAAAGACAGAAACTGACATAAGCTAGCGATTACTAAACTTCAAAACTGGGCAACCTCAGCAACTGTCAAAAATCAACTATACTTTTACTATCTTTGTAATAACAGTTTCTATTCATTTTGGAAAAACTGTACTTCTTTCTTCACAAACACTTACATTAAGCTAATTAGAACTTTATTTCAGTCATCCATAACACAGAGTACAAAAAATCCAAACATTTAATTAGCTACTTTGTTATTAATAAATATGACTGTCATTAATCACTTTGTTGTTGAAAACCATGAAAAAGGTACACTCACAAAACATCAATCAAAGGTTAACAAGATCTCTGGTAAACTATTACTTGTAGTTCAGAGGTCTGTGCTATCATATTCTTCCAATTCCCTTCTTTCTAGCCTTCTTCCGAGGGAAGCATTTAAATTGTATGATGCAATACTGTGTGAAGTACCAAAGCACTGACAAAACTTACAGATTTTTCCAGAATAGTACGAGCTGGAAAATCAATTTCTAGAACATCTTTCAAATTTTGTAATAGACTATATTCTGGATCCCTGAAAAAAATAAGAAAAAATAATTATTCTATAAAGTTTGTAAAATCATTGAAATGTAACTATATTTCTAGGGTACCTACCACAAATGCATGTTTCTGCTCAGCTTAAATCCCATAGGTTTTACAACTTCACATATTAAAAAGAAAAAAAGAAGTTTAAAGATTTAGGGTTTGATCTCATCCTGTAAAAGAATATTTGGCATATGATCTGTTTCTTAATTAGTTGTTTGGAAAATCTAAGTCAAATGTTAAAAATACACAGTTCAGAGTGAAAAATTTTTATATAATATCTACTAATATTTAACAATAAGGAATTTATTAAATATTTTAGATCTGAGATCTTGTACCATGGTCAGCTCCAAGAAAGCAGCACTCAGGAAGCATGGTAGGATGCCTGGGATCTACCTCTATGTTTATGGAAGCATTATTCCCTAGAATGAAAGAAGAGTAAAATTTTTACAAGTGGTTACAAGTTTCATTGTATGCTCAGATATTTTATAAACAGCTTTTATGAGGAAACTTTATCTTTGTAACCAAAAGAATTTTGAAATTATGATTATCATTAAAGATCCAGGGAAATCATGTTTCTAAAAAGCAGAGACAATGAATTAATAAGATGAAGTTGAGATTCTGGTCAATACTCTTACAGAAAAGTATAAATAAAAATTTCCTGTAATGACTGACTTAATACCAAAATTTACAAATGAAAGAAATAATGGTCTGCTGAGTGGGTGGTGCAGGCCTGTAATACAAGCTACTCTGGAGGATGAGGTGGGGAATGACAGAGTGGACAAGTAAAACAGACTTGAAAAATAACAGGCTGCGGATGGGCCGAGTGCTAAGAATGCACAAGCCCTGTGCCCAAGCTTTACGACCCCTACTAAAAAAAAAAAAAAAAAAAAAAAATCAAAAAAGCAGGGTAATGATCTGAACTAGCTTTCTTGAAAAACAACTAGGTCAAATGTAAAGTATACAATAAAACACATTAGTTCTTTTCCTGTTACAAAGCTTTCCCTTGAAAATTGTTCATTTACTAAGAAAAAATCGATTTTGCAGAGTCTAAAAAAAGCTAATTTCTATTTTTGAACTCACTGGATTCAATGTAGTAACTGTACAGTGTACAGTACAAGTTCAAAAAACTGCCAAATTCAAAAAACTGCATTATTTTGAGAAGGTACTAAGTATAATTAAGATAATTACATCTTCATTTTTATGGGAAAAATGTCTGTTAATTTCTATTCATTATTAAATATGCTTTCTACTAAAGTTAACAATAATATAACCAGAATTATTATAAATCTGGAAAAAAATTAAGTATAAAATTCAAAAATACAGCCTACCTTGTTCATACATTCTTAGCTATGATCATACATTTCTTTTAGCCTTTAGCAATGTCATCTATTACAAATGCCTGTTGAAAATACATTCGTTTAACTGATGGCTACATTAACTACTCTTTCAATTAATTTGTTCAAAATTTGGCCCTAAAGTACTAAATCTATGCCTGAAAGAGTAGGGGAGTTATGGTAAATCAATATAAAGAATAAATAACAACTAGATAGTTTATGTTGAATAAGAAATACAGTAAGTATATTTTAAGAATTACAGTATTTTAATGGGGCCATGAAAATAATAAATTGCATTCGTCAAAAATATTTTCAATCTAGGGCCAGCCTGATAGTTCAGCGGACTAAAGTGCCTGCTTAGGTAGAGTGAAGCGGCCAGGGTTTGATCCGTGTTGTGATGTGCCAGCCAGGCTCACAGGGCACGCAATGAGACTGCGATTAAGACTAGGTGTGATGGTGCACACATGTAATCTTGGCACTTGGGAGGCTAAAAAGCAGGAGAATCAGTACGAGTCTGATCTATGTAGTGAGACCCTGTAGACCATGCAGACCCTGCAGACCCTGTCCTAAAATATGGAAAAAGAAAAAAACTTCAATCTTAACTACTTGTTCACAAACATATATTAATTTGGTTAATTATTCCAAATTAAATATTAGAAATTTCCCAACTGAAAAAATAACTATTTTTTAGATTGTATTGCTCCCCTTCCCCAATTACAGATAATCTATTATGCCTTGGTAGAAAAGTACAAAAACTGTTCACTAATTTAGATATGATCTATTATCAGAATGTCAAATGTTTTTCAGAATACAGGCCTTTCAAAACATATCCATTTCAGAAGAAAGCACTAAAGGGTCGCTTAAAATCACATATGAAAGAAAGAAAAACCACATGATAATTATGGTGGACACAAATACAGTTAAAGATCTAAAATCTTGAGAAAGACTAACTCTAAAATTGATTTTGTTTTGGTTACTTGAAATGGAAATGCATACCATTTCATAATCAAGACAATATTACAGGAATGTTTATCACTATACCATATCTTTTTTTTTTTTTTTAATGTATTTGGTACAGGGTCTCAATACACAGCTTAGACTCAGTGATTCTCCTATTTTCAGCCTCTCCAGCACTGGGATTATAGGCATGCACAACTACGCACCATCTCAGTATGCCCTGGGGCAGGGCTGGCGCAGCACATGGTGCCCGGGATCAAGTCCTGGTCCCTGCACTTGCCAAAGCAGGCATTTAGTCCTCTGAGCTATTTCACAGGCCCCACTGTACCATATCTTACACTTCAATTTCATATATTTATCATAAAGAAGATATAGTACTTAAAATATATTCAGTTATTTTGTGCTGTTTACTCTTTAATGGAATGGTCTACATCAGGTTCTTTTATTCTTATATTTTGTCAAAGTACTCTGAAATCTCACATTAATTTGCCTCAGTTTCAAAAATGAAGACATCATTCTCACTGATATTTTTCTGACATAATGTACACTTTGAATAACCTGCTCCACCCCAGCATTTCTGTGCCAATTAAATGCTAATACTCATTGTTACTTTCACTGTCTCATCTTTTATAATGAAACACCCTGGTTCTTGTCCTTTTCATCTAATTTATTTACATTTAAGTATGTAGGGGTTTTTTGGGTGGGGCAGAACCAGGGATTGAACTCGGGCCCTTGCGTTTGCCAGGGAAGCGCTTATTCCACTGAGCCCCAACCCCCTAAAGTATATAGTTAAAAAATAAACTATAATTTAATCCCAAAATGTTTTAAGAGCCAACTCCATACTAAGAACTTTCATTAAGATTTTTCTTTTTTTGTATTTTAGGGAAGGGTCTACAGGGTGTTCAAGGTCTCACTACCAGATTGGACTTGTAGTGATTCACCTTTTTACAGCCTCCCAAGAGCTATATCTATATCTATAGCTATATATACCCAAGAGCTGGGATTACAGGCACACGCCATCACAGCAGGCCTGGGGTTCAAATTCCTGGCCCCTGTGCTTACTTGCAGGCACTTTAATCTGCTGAGCTATTTGGCCCACCTTTCATCTAAGATTTCATCTGGCATCTTTAAATTTATTTTTGTAATGCAACATAAAAGTAAACAACTAAAAATAAAATCTTCAATTCTTTTCTGCTACCTAATGCAATTCTGCGTGCTGTTGCACTCCGGGTAGGTTTCTGTGGCTCAAGTACCCAGGTCTTCTTATCAATTTCATCCATGGTATCCCAAAATGCCTTCAGTGATTCCAATGCTGCCAAAAACTGACCATGGATGCTTATTAAGGAGCTCTGTGAAGAAATGAAGCTGAGGAAGTTATATGGCACTCTACTAATGGTAGATAATGTTCCACTCAAAATATACTTAATTTAGAAATTTTAACCTGTTCTATTTCACTAGAAAGTAAATACAGTCCACTTTCCTGTCTCACATATCTTTTTTAGTAATATACTTTTTACCATCACTAGACTTTACACCTTATTGTGGGATGCTCAATAACTCCAGGCCTCCAATCCTATTGCAAGTGGGTTTCCGGGTTCCTCTTCCCCTACCTCTGCTGAGCTAAGCTCCTAATTCTTCTTACTTCGCCTATTTCCCATAAGTCTCCTGCTATGCCCCAGAGGTGGGACTTCCTGTCAGAGCCCAGTTGCCTAGTTACTTGCGCCTTTTACCCGCCGACGTCATTTCCCTATGCCTCCAGTATATATACCCAGAGTTTCCTTTGAATAAACGAGACTTGATCACAATCCTGTCTTGTCTCCATTTCTCGTGTCTCCTGTCCTTTGTCCCCTCAATTCCCTGCTCCTCTCCCAGGTGACCTTCGTTGACTGACCCCCTGGCTTGGGACACCTTATAACAATATTTTATTATCTTATACTTTATGAATGAACTAGTAATATCTACATATCACTAATATCTATATATACTAATGTATAACATACATCTAATACATTCAGAATAACATCTATAATTTTAGTGTGAACATTTTTTGTTAAACAATGAAGTTAATATAAGGCTGTTTATAACTTGATTAAATAGGCTATTTATAACTTGTTTAAATTATCTTTAAACACTTAGGAAATAACTTTGTAGACATAATTAGAAAAACAAAAAGTCTAATAAGATTTAATATATTCCTTAAGAATTCGAAAAGATGATTTTTTTTCTATGTTCAACTTTCAATCTCTGAATTCACTATTTTAGATAATTTTTAATAGGAGCTAGCTTAATCGATTGAGTAAAGTCATCACTTTTGGGTTTTTCTTTTTTGTGGTACTGGGGACTGAACTCAGGACCTATTCTACTGAGCTATCTCCCCAGCCCTGCCATCACTTTTTTTTTCTTTCACAGATCCTAAGGGACCCTGATCCATGCCCTTAACCCATTAAAAAATAATAGTAGTCTACTTCCAAATCCACTTCAATGTCCTTCCCATTTTCTCACTGATCTCTAGTTAATATGGCTTTAAGAAAAAATCTTTATGATAATTTATTTCCTTTTTACTTTTTATTACCTACAATAAACTTTTATAATCATAAAAACCTTTGTAGAAATAGAAACAAATGCTCTATTAACCATCCTTACATTTCATATGTACACAGCCTAGTGAAATATATATTAAAGTTAATTTGATAAAATTAATATTTCAAATATGTGCCAGGACTGTGTTGGGATCTCCAATACAAAGATAGAACCACCCAGCATATAAGAAGTCACAGTCCTAATCTTAAAAGTAACAAAGTTTTGATTTTAACCTATACATACTTAGCCTAAGATTTTTTTTTTTGTATTGTGGTGGTACCAGGGATAGAACTCAGGACCTTGCACTTGCCAGGCAAGCACTTATTCCACTGAGCTATCTCCCTGACCCCTTAGCCTTTGCTTGAACAATGCATTTATAAATGTATATGAGCAGTAGGTAACTTTTAAGGTGATATACAGCTCTAAAATTTAAAAATTCTAAATACTGTGTAACTGTTTGAAAATCTACAAAGTAGATAATATATTCCACTTAAAATACCTATAATCCCTTTTAAATGGTCAATTACTATAATGTATTCCTACATGTTTCTAATTCTCATTTATAAACAGACTCTTATTTTTGTATTTTAAGGAAGGGTCTACAGGGTGTTCAGGGTCTCACTACTAGATCGGACTCCTAGTGATTCACCTGTTTACAGCCTCCCAAGTGCTGGGATTACAGGTGTAGGCCACCACGCCCAGTCTCAATTTTCTCAGTGTGGCCCGGAGACGGGGCTGGCACGTTTCACTTACAAACAGACTTAGTAAGTTATATAAACAACTATTAAACATAATGCATATTTATGATTTACTATAAGATTTCTTCTTGATCAAGAGTTTCATATCAAAATCAAATAGGTTTTATATGAGAATCAAAATATTCAGATAATTATATACCTCATGTATTTAAGGGAAATGTATTACATGACTATTATAATTTTCTCAAATATAGGGAAAAAACTACACTCTCTCAAAAAACTTGTTCTGAAACAGGTTTAAAAACCACCAATTTTGAAACTTAGTTCTCTTTCCCATCTAGCAAGATGGTGGATGAAAAAACTGAGAAGCCAGACACTGAAGAGAAGAAACCCAAAGCCAAGAAGGCTTCTGCCTGTGGTAGTAGTGAAAAGAAAAGGGTAAAGTGAAGGCAAAAAAGTCCAAGAAAGGCAGCCCCACTGCAGTCAAAATCCAGTCCTGGTTAGAGGAATTGGTAGATACTCCCAATCTGCTATGTATTCCAGAAAGGCTTTGTACAAGAGAAAGTACACAGCTGCCAAATCAAAGGTTGAGAAGAAAAAGGAGAACGTTCTTGCTATGGTCACAAAACCAGTCAACGGGGACAAGAATGGAGGTACCCGGGTGGTAACACTTCGAAAAATGCCTAGATACTACCCTACTGAAGATGTGCCCCGAAAGCTTTTGAGCTATGACAAGAAACCCTTCAGTCAGCATGTGAGGAAACTTTGAACTAGCATCACTCCTGGCACCATCTTGATCATCTTCACTGGGCGTCACAGAGGCAAGAGAGTGGTCTTCCTGAAGCAGTTGGCCAGTAGCTTGCTCCTTGTGACTGGGCCTCTCGGCCTTAATTGTGTTCCTCTACAAAGAACACACCAGAAATTTGTCATTGCCACCTCTACAAAAATTGGTATCAGCAAAGTGAAAATCTCCAAATACTTCACTGATGCTTATTTCAAGAAGAAGCAGTAGCTGTGGAAACCAAGACACCAAGAGGGTGAGATCTTCGACATCGTGAAAGAGAGATACCAGATTTCAGAGCATCACAAGAAGGATCAGAAAGCGGTGGACTCACAAATTGTGGCAAAAATCAAAGCTGTTCCTCAGCTCCCGGGCTACCTGCGATCCGTTTTTGCTCTGACAAATGGAATTTATCCTTATAAATTAGTGTTCTAAATTTCTTACTAAGAACCTAATTAGATAATTGATACATTTTTTTAAAAATCAAATAAAAATAAAACCCACCAATTTCTTTATTTGTGATACTGGGATCAAAATTGGAACCTTTCACTTGCCAGGTAGGCACTTATGCCACTGAGATATCTCCCTGGCCCTAAAACCAATAATTTCTAACAGGAATAATAAATCAATTATATAGATTAAATATAATGAAGATATAAAAACTATACCAAGCATACTTTAGCTGAATTCACGGAAAAGGAAAATGCTACGCTTTACACATACATACCTGTACAAGAACATAATTTAAGGAAATATTTTAAAAGATCTGACAAAAAATTTGGGTAAGACAATAAAAAAGAAAATTCAAATTAGCTAATCAATAAATATACACATAAGACTTCCCTAACATGATAAATTCTCTTATAGAAACAGGATCCAAGATAATACAGAAACTTTGCAACTACAGCCTTATGTGGTGGAAGGAGGATGTTAAACAACATTTTATCTTTAAGGTACTCCTGAAGGAGGAAGGAATGGAAAGAGGTAAGAGAATGAATTTGAACAGCAACAATGTAAGACTTGAAATAGCCATGCAGCAGATGTTATTTCGCCCACTGCAAAAGGAGTGCAGCAAAGGTCCACATTGAAGGCATACCAGCCACGTAAGATATTTTTAAAATATCTGTCTTATAATGTGGGGAAGGAGTGCAAAAACAGGGAGAGCCTAAGAAGAGAAACTAGAAAACTAACTCCATAACATTACATGTATATACGATCCAAATACACAATACCACACGAGCCAAGTTCAATACGAAAGTATCCCTTGATAAGAAGGATAATCTTCTTGTAGTGAAAAGAAAATAGCACAATAACTTTTAGAGAAAAACTAGACATCTCCAAATGATTTGAAGAGAGCAGGCATTCATTTATTAAGAAATCAACCCAATATTAGGTCCACCTAAGTTTCTTAGTGAAATTCTCTGCACTGAAATCAGTACCGAAATCTAAATAGTGTTGTATATGGACTGTCCAGAAAAAAAAAAAATAATAATTATTTAGGAACTCTGTGATGGTCATTACATTTTCATTTTAAAGAAAAGAAAAATAGAAATAAGATAAAAGTTTCAAATTAGGCTAATGGGAGTAACTACAATTAATACAACAAATTGTTATCACAGTAGCTACTCAGATTACAAGATATAGGCATAAATTAATTAATGCCTATATAAATCAATGTCGAGAAAATATTAGCACAAATCTTTCTTTTCAACGAACCAAGAGAAACTAGCTGTATAAATATCTTAATGATATCTTGTACGTGTGTGTTTCCTGTTTTCTTTTCCATCCTTTCCCCCATCAGTTTCTCTTTTTTCTTAAGCTGAATGAGCACATAAGACCCAAACACATGATACATATTAAGTTGGAAAGAAACTGTTCAAAACAAAAAACAATCACTAAAATTTTATGAACATACACAAATGAAGTGATTTCTGAATAAATCCTCTATTCAATATACTACATTTACATTCAAAACCTGAAAGATCATGAATCATTAGATAGTCCAGCCAAAGGTGATCAAATCATGATCTTACAAAAAACTACAATGTGGGCCAGGGCAGCATAAGCACCTACCTAGAAAGTGCAAGGTCCCAAGTTTGATCCCCACAACAAAACAAAACAAAACAAAACAAAACAAAACAAAACAAAACAAAACAAAACAAAAACTAGGAGGCTTACAGTCTTGAATAGCTTTGCAATGCTGAAGTATTGAATCAGTCTATGCTAGCAATGCTTACCAATTTTACAGAAGGTATGCATGAGTCAAGTATTCTAAAATTTAAGCAGGGCA